CACACAACCCTGGTGAATAAGGGATATAAGGTTGCTTTCATTAGTATTTCTGTCTTGTAAGTTTAATGATAATGTGTATTTAAATTTAGCCTGTTTCAGGATCTTAGACCAGGTCTTAGCACTTAAATATCTTCAAATGCCATTAAGCCAATGTGATTATTATTCAGGTAGCTAACTCAAACTATTGCTCTACAGTACTATCGCAGTAGTTATAAACCTATTTTACAAGACAGTTTATGCTAATATGCTATAGAGCCCCTTGCGATGTGCTATGAATTGCCATCTGACACATTTCTTAAACAATACATAAAATCGAGCTAAAAGCGTTAGAAGCGAGTACTTCTGAGGTCTTAGTCTAATGTTTATATTTAGCCAAGTTACCAGCTTATTGCTATAACGCTGATGACTTAAGATTCCCCCTTTACAGGAAAAACCTCAAATAATGTGGGACTTGGAAAACCCAGCAGAAGAAAAGAATGCAACAGCAAAGGTACATTTTGATTATTCGCATGACTATTCATAACAAGTAGATATGATCTCATCGCTGTACTAATTACAAATTTAAAACCAGCACACTGAATCTTGCTCTTTCCGTCCTCCACTCATTCAGACTCTGCGGGAGGAGCGTATCGCAGTGCGTGACTTCTTTAAAGCACTCAGTGATCTGAGGGGAAAAGAGCGATCGCTTCTGCACGGAGAATATGTCAGCCTTCACAGTTCAGCCACTTCATTAGCATTTCTCCGCCTCTGGGATCAGAGCGAACGTTTCCTTACTGCTATGAACTGGGGAAATGACCCTGTAACCATGATCCTCTCTAACAGCGACCTGCCGGCACAAGCTCAGGTCCGCCTCACCACAGATGCTGCAAATCTAGCCGTGGATAGCATGGTCTCCTTAGAGAAGTTACAGCTTGGGCCCAAACAGGCTGTTCTGTTGTCTTATCCTTATGCTGGTTAGACACACAACTGCAGATCCTCACATATCATCTCAGAGCTGTTTGACGTTCTCTGAGGTCTAATAAAATAGGCCTAGTGTCTTTATGCTTCTTTATGTTTAAGTAGACGAAGTCTAAATGCTTTTGAAGTGATTTTTGATGAGTGACTTTTGTCAATCAGTGTGTGTATTAAATTTGACTTCTCTTATCTACTAATAAAGTTGAATAAAAAGGTTTTTCATATCTACTTTCAGTGCACAGACGTGTTTGTACAAAACCACAAATAAATCAGCTGAACTACAAAGCTGATAAATGTTTACTGCTGTATGTCTGTCCTTTTTTCGGTGTATTTTATAATGAAAAAAAAGTTATTTTTGTGTGTACGAAACACCTTTGACATTTTTTTTTTACCTTGTGATTTTATGCACACAACACATTTGTTGTGCGCTTGTGTCTTGGCTCTATGCCATGTGTCGTTAATTCTCAGGGCAGGAAAAGGAAGACTCTAAAGTCAACAGGTGTGTGTATGTGTGTCATGTGCGATCTTGATGTGTACTATATAAAACTATTACTTCCTGCACACTTTAGCTTGTTAAAAAGAAGTAACATTTCTTCCAGCACCTAAATGCGGAACGGGTCAGCGTGACATGTCATAAATCTAGCTCTTTAGTTAAGAAATATGTAACACGATGGCTCAGTACAACAAGTTTGATTTATACACAGTAATTAAAATATTCCTGACATTCAATTTTTTTTTCCTCAGGATGTGCACTACTACATATAGGGGAAAGTGCCTCAAGTTATTTTGCATTTTACTTGATGCCCCATTTGTTATTTTTTTAATGGCAGTCTAGTGTTGATTAATGTAAGGTCATAGGTCAAATCTGAAATTTCAAAAAAAGTGTATAATTCTCATTTACTTACCTTTCGTTTCTGTGGGTCCCATATCATATTTTCTTCAGCAATAAGCGTATGCTGGGCTTGAATCTCTGTGTTAACGTGTATGAGACCGAAAGAGATCGATCTTGAAAGAAATCTTTATCTAATTGTGATTGTGAACTTTCCCAGATATACGTGGTGGTGAGGGCTGTTCGTTTGCATGTCCTCCCACAAACAAGAACATTTTTGTTGTACAGAAAAGTAAAAAATCTAGACAATCTACAATGGTAGAGAAAATTACATTATTGTATTAAGTTGTATAGTGATAAATCATCAAAATCTTTCAAATACATTTTCTAATTTCTGTTAATTATAAAAGAGTAATTCTTTAAGTATAGTATCAATAAAAATGTATAATAACAATTATATTAATAATAGCAACTCATATTCATAAAATCTAAATCAAGTTGAGTGAAGTTTACAACATTTATGGTAAAGAACTAGAAGCAGATCACAAAAATGTTTGGTGAGAACTAAAAGGTGTTTGGTAAAAACTAAAATCAGAAGGGGAAAAAACATCCAGGTCAGATGTTCAGATAAAGACTGAACAAAACAACACAGTTTCTACATTTAACATATTTTACCTTCAGGGTTTTGTTGTTTACGCATTTAAACTGGATTAACGTGCACTGACTGAATCAAGTAAGCTTGTGCTTTCCAGTTCTATTACACTTAATCAAAAGAAACTCATTTTGGTGGCATTTTTGTTGTAAATATTAGAGCTGCGTTTAAGTCATTGCAATGTATGTACAATATTAGGTATGAAACACTTATTTGTACAACTGCCTCAAACTATTATTTTTTATTTGACTTCTCTATGACAATGTAAATATTTTAAGCATTTTTGTAGCATTTTACAAAATTAGTTGAACCAAAGTTTTGTTGTTAGAAATTACATAATCTTAGCATTAGAAAAAGGACTGAATTATACAATTATAAACCGAAATACAGCAAACTGTGTTCGGTCGTTATATGTTTATAAAAAAAAAAGTTTGAAGCAATATCTGTGCACATACTGTAAATAGTTGTGCTACTTTGATTATGTCTCAGACGACGTTATAACATCAGCTGTTTGTGCATGTGTGTGTTGATCTGAATGTCAGCGGGGGTACAGTGATATTTCAAAATCGACGGAGACAGGGACGTGTTTCTGGTAAAACACGACGTCGCACTCTTGAGATGACTGAGTGTGGTCACAAACCCGTGTGTGTGCGTGTGTGTTACATGTATTTGTCAGACGTGTGTGTGTGTACCTGTGTGATTGTGTGTTTCTTTTCTGTGGGGATGGGGGTTTCATTTTGACTCTGGGCAACTTTTGACGGCAGTGAATCGGGTTTTTTGAGCCAGATCACACAGCAGCTTATCTTATTCAACTTAAGTTGTTCACTTGAAATGCCTTTAAAATCAGGCAACATTTCTGGTAACTTTGAACCACACTTGTCTTCTCGTGTGATTTGGGTTTTGTACGGGCTTGATCATCTGTTTCTCTCTCTCCTTCTCCTCCCTCATCTCAATAAGAGAGACGAGAGAGAAAGACACAACGCCCCCTCTCGCCCTGTTGATGTGAAACTCCTCACCGAACAATGCCCAGTCATGCCTGACTCTCGGTTTTACTGCTACAGCCTACTCACATCACTAAACTTCATTAAACCCTGTTATCTTGAAGCCCCATCTTCATCGCAAACATTTCTTCATAAGCATCACCATCTCCATTATCACTATCATCATCATCATCACCAAACTCTATATTATTCTCAGCAAAAGTGACTTTCGATATCAAATACACCGTTGTTTGTCAAACTCTCCAAAATCTCTGCATGAAATAGTGATTCTCCCTAAAATGAATGAGGGTGGCTGCGTTGCAATTTCAACAATCATTTTCATACCTCATCATCAATAATGGCCTACCGAAATATGTCACCTACACGTAGAGATGGTAACCTGCAATCGTTGCGATCTTTAAAATAAAAATTCCTCATTCTCACGTGCGCTCCAAACTGTGTTTTGTGGAACACAAAAGAAGATCATTTGAAAGAACTCTCATACAACAAAAGACAGTGTTGTTTTTGAACCCCTTTAACTTTAATTGTATAATCATAAAAAGCCAAAACTTGCTTTAAAATATCTTTGTGTTCAGGTTTGGAACAACATGAAGGTGAATACATGATTCATTTTTTATTAAGGAATAGTTTACCCTCATGTCCTTCCAAACCTGTATATGTTTCTTTCTTATGTTGAACACAAAAGAAGATATTTTGAAGAATGTTGGTATTCGAACAGTTCAACATAAGAAAGAAACTCGCACAGGTTTGGAATGACATGAGGGTGAGTAAATGACGACAACATTTTCATTTTAGGGTGAACTATTCCTTTAAGGGCCATTTCTACCCAATCATTACTCTTCAAACTAGTTTTGTTGTAGTATCGTAATGTATTTGGTTGATTAAGTGATGTTAGATAATATTTTGACTTCAATAAATCAGATATTTAGATTTGTTGTGAGTGCACTAAAAAACTTCTCTCAGCATGTAATATCCACAATCAACAGCTATTTAAATGAAAAACATTTCTGCTATTCTAACACCGTGTATTAATTTTATTATGCTTTTTTTTGCTATTATTATCAGCATCTTCTCTTTCAAACAGGACCCCTGTTTGAAGCCCCCGGAGGTGATACAGGAGACCATGGAAATACAATAAAATACAACATAGAACAAATAGGTTGTAGAATAGTTTTTCAGCACTTAATAGCAGTATTTAACAATCAAATACTAGATGGATAAGAAAGAGAGAGTGAAAAAAACGTAGGGGCAAAGACAGGCGCTTTGTCAAACTGAGAGCTGCCTCTGAGGTCTGAGTCGGAGCAATACAGGTTTTTTCTCTCTCTCTCTCTCTCTCTCTCTCTCTCGCTACGGTGTATGATGTTTTTTCTCACTCGTTTCCAGGATCACAATGACAAAGTCTTCAAAAGATCAGAGGAACCAAGAGAAGACTGCCGTACCGAAAAGTTAACCATCACTAACGCCTCCGCAGAGCCTGCATGTCTTTCTCTCTGTCTATCTTGCCTTAACAGTGCATCCCTCCTTCATTCACTCACTCGTGTATACAGACGTGCATGTAACACGCAGAGTTCAACTGTCCTGCAGGCCTTGACTTCAAAACTGAGAGGTAAGTGACATCTTCCTCTGTTTATGAACAAGACAACAAAAAACAGACAGTGAAGTGAGTTAGCGAGTGATAAAACGGACTAATAGGTAGTGTTTTACAAGTATATACACATGTATTTCAGTTCTGCAAACACAGTTATATAAGGCACAGACATGGCTGTGCTGACACTCATCTTGTTTGTTTTTACATCTTGAATGTAAAGCGATGCAGACGCATGTCGCTTGTTTTTGAAACTCATAAGATTGTGTATTGCACCAGACTTGTAGACTTGCGCAAAAACAGGTTCATCTAAGCAACATGGATCTGCGTGTAGCATGAAAGATTTCACTGATGTTGAGGCCTAGTTTCGGAAAACGACTGGAGTACAGAGGACACATTAGAAACTCAGTGTGGATTGAATGAGGTATCTTTTTGACTGTAATGTACCTCTTTTTACATTTAATTAATGAACATCTTTAGTTTATGAGATGCATACTATAATAATGCTTACATTTTCAACACTAATAATAGTTCGCTCCATTAGTATTTTGGGGCGTCTATGACATTCTTCAGATTGTGAACGACAAAGTAGAATATTGATAATTTTCGGATGATCTGTAGATGAAACGTGTCCCTGTGAGTCATTCTCATGAGAAACAGAATTGGATTGCGTACAATCCTGCGAGAAAAAGCAGTTCGAATACTTTTTCTTGGTTCTGCGCTCTAAGTACAAAAACTCAAAAATAATAAAACAAAAGCTTCTATTTCTGGAAATCATATTCAAAAAATATTTTTAAGGGGTAAGATTTTTTTTGAGCCTTGAGCATAATTTCTCTCACCTTTTATGTGCATTTGTAGTTCCTTGAAGACCTGCGTCAATGATTATGGGACTGAAAGTGTGTGCAAGGTTCTTCCCTTTAACACAAAGAGCAGTCAGTAATGACCTATTTTTGTTGATGGTGGACCATGCAAATTATTAATAACTCGGGCTCCTAATAATGTATTGTCTGATTTTACAGTTTTTTCCGCACATTTCATCTTTACACAACAGGGTCTAATAAGCAAACTTTCTCTGATGTTTTTTGCTATTATTGCAAAGTATAATGCCATGTAGAGAAAATTGATTCAGAATTGTTATTTGTGAAATTAAACTCACCTGACGGATAACATCCTACAACCGCCTTTATGACTCAGGTGCTGCAAACTACTAGTCCAAGCGATGATGATTCCTGAAAATATATATATATAATAAAAAATTAACCTCAAAGTTCAGTGATTATACTTCACACTTGAAAAGAAAAAAAAAGGCTATTAGGATTTAACAAGAATCCTTCTACTAACAGAATTACAACAGTTTCTTCATTGTACCTTTAACCTTTTTGGATATTTAAATTATGTCCATGCAAGAGTTCTGTGTTTATTCTGTGAGGATGTTGGCATCCACCAAGGGCATATTTCCTGTATACTGATCATTGCAGCCAAATTTAGCTTTAATATGCATAAGCAATACTTAAACAGTACAGTGTTAGGTCCTCTTTTATTCAGGTATTGAATGAGTATTGGGCTTTTTGTAAGGCGCCAAGTTGATTTTAAACCTCAGATCTCCATTATTATGTATTGGGTCAAACAGAATATGACGATGGTCACCAACAACAAATGAGCAATTTATTTTTTCTTTTCTTTCTTTTTTTTTTTAAATAATGGAATACGAAAAAGAACGTGTAGAATTGGCTTTATGTAAACTGATATTTTAGGTAAAACACATGAATCGTATAAGACAAATTAGTTGAAGAAATTTGTTAGCTGGTTTAATCTATAGTAATTCTAACGATGTTTATATAAAAAATAGTGGTCTATGGTATGTCTTCATGTAGAAATAAATTGTGTATTTGTATGTAGGTTTAGATGCGAGGCTCTGGGAGGCCTTAGAAACATCACTTAACAGTCTTTGCAGTTATTTGACTATAAATATGTTTTACTATTTGACTATGAAAGGCAAGATATTCAGTCTAGGTAGCACCTGTTCAATATGAACAAAATCTTTAAAAAACAACAACAACAACAACAGTAAGTCTGTATTTCATCAGATAATTACATAAGATAATTTTTGCTAATTTTCTAATACATATTATATACAAATACTTGATATGGCGTGAAAATGTAAGATTTTACTAAAGCTGTTATAAGGACAGATTGCTTCTGAAGCTTGTGCAGTTATGTTTAGCCTTCTGCGATAAACATTTTTAGAACGTATTAAAAAACAGTAAGACATTCAGTTGAGAATGAAATGTTAAATTTGCTAGTTTTTCGTCTAGAGCACCGACATGACAAAAAAAGAAAACAAATAAACAAACACAAAACAATTTGATAATATCAATAAATCAGATCAATAATCATTATATGGAGGAGACTGCAGTGAGATACATACAGATGTTGTGCTCTGTCATTTTATAGTTTATCATTCTCTCGTTTGAAAACCTTTTGAACAAAACCACTCCAAAATCTATTCATGTAATCATACAAAAGCACACATTCAAAAAGTTGTTTATTTAGTATCACTTTTGTGCAACTTCTAATGCTAGATTTATCTAATTTGCATATATCATATTCACTTACTGTTTTTTTTTCATTTTTACAGGTCTAACACTGATGAAATTGAATCAAAGATCATCTTATAGACAGAATTTAAATAAGGCTCAATAGGATAATGCGTAACATTTAACACTGAAAAAGACTACCCATGAAAAAAAATATTGGCAAAAAAATATATTTCCATGTAAATACAAAAACACAATAAATCGAAATTGCAGATTTTGCCTCTTTCAACGGTTATCCACAAACCAGTATGCGAACACTTTTGTGTTTATCATTTGATTTGGGTTAATATATTTTAGCAGTACATTACAGCTATTATAAAATGCCGCCAGCAAAATGTAAACAATTCCAAAACTAAAAATCTTTATTAATATTATTTAAAAGTCTTTATAATAGTATATGCTTTCACGACTTAAAAATGTCACCGTCACAGAGCTGGGAAGACATGGACTGCCAGACATAATCATTTACAATAAATAATTTAACAGACTATTTTATACAGTTTAACTGAAGAATCTCACAATGCTAGCAATTCATGCTACAAGACCCAACAATACAACAGAATCTACAGCAGTAAATGTGCACAAGAGTAAAAGAGATTTTCATATCTTCATGTATTTCCAGCTGTTCTCTTCTTTTCTATGATTTGAAATTATGGCCACATGTTGTCAGTTGAAATTTTGACTACTGAAATTTAGTGGAAGCTTGCTTAACACATTAGCCGTTTCTGAATTCGCTTATGTTTTAAAAATGAGTGAATTCTTACTCCTCCTAAAATGCATCGTCAGCACATTTCACTCTGCACCGGTCATGAGCAGACTAATAATGGAGAAGCACCTAAATTGATTAGAAACTACAGGTTTTGGGGGACGTAACTCGCACCTGTAAAAAGCACATTCATTTATTTCCGCAACCTAAACTTCAGGGTTCATCCAACAAGAGTTTTAGGTTCAGCTTTCATTACGCTCATATACTTCTTTAATTTTTCAACGCATTCGTCTGTGATCTCTCTGCATGCACTTATGAACGTTGTCTCAAAGATAAGATAAACGGTTTGATAGAATGATAGACAGAGAGGAGAAAAAAAAAAAGTCCAAACCGCTCTGCTGCTTTCCCCCTCCTCTGTTCAGTCTTTCACACATATGACCGAAAACTAGAAAACAGCCTCCACACTCCTCTTTCCATCAATTATATCCTATGTTGTTTTTGTCCCTCCTTAACCCGCTCGCCCCGTTCTCCAGTATTATCTGATCACGTATAGCTTTTAGGTACGCAATATTGATTTAAGAATGAACATTTCATGCAACAAAGCTGGTATTTTAAGTCCTAAATTTCCCCACTCTTTGTTCTTGAATATAAAAACTTGTACAAAGTAGTTTTTAAAGGCAAAAGCTAAAAAAAGTAGGGCAGCGAGAGTGAAAAATCTACATTTCTCTGGTCCAGGAATCCGTCTTCTCTCGGTGTATTGTATTACACCTTTTATTCTTTCACCCACATTATGCTAATGGTGAGTTTTGTGTAGGTGATTTCTGCAGGTACATTCATACTGTACTCACCACTGAATTAACATCACCCTCATCAGCCAAACTGCCAAACCTACAACCTATGCGGGGGCCGTCCAGATTCACCGTCTCTCAAAGTTTAATGCCTCTGACCGAGATACGACGCACAGAGACAGAGTGGGTGGACCTGTAGTAGACCTGTCATTCAAAATAAAAATGCATGATTATGCTGAACTGCTGTCATTTAAGAATTAACAGTTAAAATGATGCAAATAAGTTAGCATGAGAGAGAGAGAGAAAAGAGAGGGAACACTACGTGTGGGTGGAAAAAGGGGTGCAGAGACAATTGTATGCGGTATGGAAACGATTTTATATTGTGGGTATAAGAGGGATACACTTGCAGAAAGAGAGCGAGAGAGCGGAGGCGGGGTGTACGGAGGTTTCCCTTGTCCACTTCCTGTTCTGTTGTTGTTTCATGGTCAACTTCCCGTCACATGATTTTGAGCAACCACAGATTCTCACTGGCGTAAACACAGTTTGTCTTTTCACCCACACAAACACATGCACAGACATACTGTATATGCATGCACAAAATCTCAATAAAGCGATCAAGTTAATCATTTAACACACCACATAACATTTAACACAAAACACAACTGTTCACATACATACAAATACTCAAACTTGTTCTTATGACCGACACACACACACACACACAGACACTTGACAGGAAGCTTTGCCTCTCACTCATGTCGTATACACTTACACACACACCCACGCCTTACCTGCCAGTTTGACAACTCTTTACGTTCTTCACACTCAAGTCACTAACCACAACAGATGCGAATCTCAAGATAACACTCTGAGCCGCAAGCTCAATAAGCCCAAAAGGTCTCATAACCTGCCAACATCATTGAAGACAACACGCTTTCATCCTGCTGCTTTTGTTAATTGTAAAAAAAAAAAGTATTCTAAAGTAAGGTTAGGTTGGAATCAGCCCTTTTTGATCTACCGTCTGTCTGTTCACCATGAGTGAGACACCCATTGGACCAAGAGAAGATGGTGATCTATGGGAGACTGTGAGTATGTGATGTGATGTAGGAGAACGGATAAAAATAGACTGAGAAGGAAAAGAGGTTAAGGAGGAGAGCAAGACAGAAGAGGGAGAGAGATATAGAAAGACAGAGATAGAGGGAGATCCGTGACTGCTTCCTCAGGATGTGGTTTTCGGTTCAGGGTTTTAAGGGAGGGGAGTGACTCTATGACAACCGAAGACTTACCTTTTGATCGGTGGCACCTGTGAAAGAAATATGTGTGAGAAAGAGTTTTCACATTTAAGTATGATAATGCACACAAGCGAGGAAGAGCTAGAGAGAGCGCCTGCTTTCACACGTGTTAGCTGGAGAGAAGGGTCGCACACGGCAAACAACTCGCAGGTCGACATGAACAGATAGCACACGAACAAAAACAACAGGTTATGGATAAAGAAAGTGAAGCACTGGTGAGTACTAGACAAACAGAGTGAGAAAGAAGGATGAGAAAGAAAGTAAAAATGATAAACAAAAGCCGCAGAACAAAGGCCGTTTGTTTTCTTTCGATAGCTGTAGATGTTTCTCAGTTTTTTCTTTGCTGTAACGTTTCCGCATTTCTGTATGAATATTTGTCTTTAAAACCAACTGTTACAGAGGAAGACAAAGACAAACCATTCAGCGGTTGGGAAAATGTCTCATTGCGTTTGTCTGTGTGGTTTGGCTCACTAACGTTTCTGAGGTTGAAAGGATTTTGATGGCTTCTGATTGTCTTTGTGTGTCGTTTCAGTTTTCAGATGCGATGAGCCTCCTTTAACTCGAGGGTGCAGCCATTTGCAACAAGCCACATGGCTGACCTTACATCTCCCGAGGCGGAGTCGCTCTCCTTCGCTCCCATGTTCCGACACCAGACAGAAGGTCAAAGGTCAAGCCACGACCTTTACCTGCAAGGTTCTATAAGTGGGCTCGGCCCGTTTGAGGTCCCGTGTGAAGCCACGGATGGCACCGGGAACGCTCTGAATGGAATAGATCAAACGGGGAACGCTTCTTACTGGGGGAATACATCCCCTGTGTCCTCTATGGAACTGAACAGGAACAAGGCACAAGCTGGAGTTTATGAGGCCGACTGGAGTTCTCACTACCACCAACAAGAGGCGTCAGAGAGTTATGAAACAACTGGGCGTCACCAACAAAAACTGGATTCATTCTCCGAGGCATTTTGCAGTCATAGCGCCACCCAAATGCCGGGCGGAGGAGAGCAGAGCGGCTTTAACAGCTCTACTCCTCCGTCACATGCCCTCTCTTTCCCTCTGGTTCTTAGCCCACCGCCAACGCCCCTGCCTGCTCCATCCTTTTCTCCTCCTAAACGACCTCAACACTTCTTGCCCGGCCAGATCTTGAGCCAATCACAGATACAAACTCAGACGGATGGGTCGCTGCAGTTCTTTCCCTCTTTACTTTCGCCTTCCACCGGCAGGTTCAATCATCCCATTTGGCTCCAGCTGCAAGCTGACGACAGCGACGGCCTGGACTTAACGCAGCACCTTCCACAAGATTCAAACTCCTCTCTGGTTTATTCAGAGCATGGAGGGCCTCATCTGAAACATATTAACTCCCTGCAGAGAGGTACAGGTAACATAGCATCATGTTTTGTGTGTTGATCTGTCTTGGCATGCCATTATTTTTAAACTTAAAGTGTGACTTTTAATAAAACAAGTGCTTTTCTTGCTTAGACTGTTCACTGCAAATGTCCCTCAACCCTGTACTGGTTCAACATCACCATCACCAGGCCTGCGCGCAACAAGAGCTGGGTCACGAGCCCGGAACATCCGAAGATCACATGACTTGGTCTCAGGTTTGTCATCTGCACATTCAGACAGATTATTAGCCTGGTCAAGCATAATCGACTGATGCATCAATGGCTTTAACGTCATAGCAGCACATTTAATTTTAATGTTCTGTATTTTAAGCTGGTTATGCTAGCATGCAACATTCATTACAATGTATAGAACCTTTTTTTCCATTTTGACAGATGGGGCAATCATCTCATTCATTTGGACCTTCTCTACACCAGTCTAGTCTCCATGTGCAGGGGCCAGGAGAAGGAACACGATTCGGTTACGGACTGAACTTCGGTCCTGGGTCCTCAGACAAATCTCAGGAGTCCGTCAGCACACAGGCAAGAGACCATTAATTTACTACATCGTTTTGTACCATTCAAAAGTTTGGGGTCAGTAAGATCTTCAAGAAATTTTAGACAAATTAATACTTTTTTTGATCAATTTAATTAATCCTTGGTGAATAAGTGACAATAAAGATATTTATAATGCTACAAAAAAAAACAACAACATTTTAAATAAATTCTGTTTATTTTTTTCTTTTTAAACTTCCCATTCATCAAAAAATCCTGAACAATATTATCATGGCTTTCATGAAAAAAAAAAAAAAAAACTTTGCAACTGTTTGCAACTGATAATAATAGGAACTGTTTCATTAGAACCAAATAAGCACATTAGAATAATTTCTGAAGAAAAAAAAATTACATTTAAAGTATATTTAAATAGAAAACGGTTATAAATAAAACTGTAATAATATTTACAATATTACTGTTTTTACAGTATTTTCTGATTAAATAAATGCAGTATTGGTGAGCATAAGACACTTCTTTCTAAAACATTAAAAAACAACAAAAAAAAACAACCCCAAGCTTTTGAACGGTAGTAATATACAACGTGAAATATATATAAATACTTTAACTGTTACAGGTTAAAACCACAAGCCTTTATGCTTGGGAGCATCATTTTAAGCAGAATCACTCACATGCAGCTTTATTTGCCTCATGTAGAATGTTCCCAGTTCCGTATATACTGGAGTCCCTTTCAACAGTGTGATCCAGATGAGTAGAGACCTAATGGAGAACTGGGAAGAAACTACACCTCACTATATGCCACCTCCAATGCTGAACCCAACACGTAGTGGAACGGGACTCTTTTGCAACCTACTGTCTTCCCTAGCTGTGGAAAACAGAGCATTGTGGACAGACGAGAGGAAAGATGATGACTCACAAAGGTCAGCATTCAAATGTTTGTTTGTTTTTCTCAGTTTTGGTCACTCATTGGTGTCGTCATACATGAAGCATTTGTATTATTTCAGCTAATACTAATTCTTTTTATTAATGAAGAGCATGTCTGAACAGCTAAAATAAATGTTACTTATTTGACAATAATCTGTCAGGAGATAAATAATGCACAGTTTGGTGTCACGTTTTTGCTTTCTTGATTTGGTGAGCGTCTGCTTGGTTGTGTTGAATCTTCCTTATTTTAACCCTCTGGCATTGTTCACATGGCAGTCAAAAAAATTTTTTTTTTTTATTTCAATGAAATGAATGTTCTATATTGTATCTTGATAGTTTTTTTATTTAATATTTAGATTTTTTTAGGAAATGTTTGGTTCTAAATTATATTCATAGTTCTGATCCATTTAATACCTGCGAACCACTTTTTGAGCATAGACCTGAAAATTACATTTCCAACTTAAACTGTCGTAAAACTTGAACTGGGGCCAGTTTCATAAAACAAGTTTACCAAATCAGCCAGGTTTATTTTAGTTAGTCTGACGTATTGGCAGTTGATTTGGTTCAAAATAAGTCAGACTAACTGAAATAAGCCTGGCTTATTTGGTAAGCTTGTTTTATGAAACAGGCCCCTGGAGCACAGACTTAAGTTTGGTCTCTTCTTAAAGAAGACACATGGCAGATTATTGATGAAGTGAAGTTTAAGTGAAACAAAAGTTATTGAAGTTTGCCGTTATGAAAAATGCACAAAATACCATTTTTTATATGAAATATATATTTTCAAAACATGTTTTACTCAAAAGCTGCAAGAAAACCAAAGCCATGAATCTAAACAAGTTGTGTTCCAAATTTGAGGTTGATATCACAAATAAACGAGGTCTCCGTAAGATTTAGTTTGGGTGCAATACCAAACATTTCTACAACAAAAAATTTGCTTCCCATTAATTTTCAATGACTATGAACAATAAAAATATGACCATTTAACCTTTTCAGATCATGCCCATGATTTTTTTTTGTGTGCGTGTTCACATAGCAAGTGCCAAAATCTTTACTAAGTTTCGTACCTGACCATTCCAATAAAGTAAAAAATTAAA